CGTACAATAAGTTTAGAACTTTTTTGACAATTATCCCAACTTCTAAAAGCATCCATCCAAGTTTTCATCCTCTTCACTTAGTGGTTTATGTGTTTCATTAAGATTACTTCCATCCTTATCAAAATCGGACGACCCAATCCGATTCAAGAACCTAGCAACACGCATCTATTAGGTGAATTGTAATCACCTTAATCATAAGCCAATCTATCGATTGTATGATAAACTACTACTAGATACATTCCTATTGATTCAAGCATTAATGAACTATCAAAATGATGTAACTTTGTCATAGTTTAAGATAGAGAGTGTACTTTAATAGTTATGACTAATTATAAATAAATTTTGCGCTTTATAGTGCAATGGGAAAATTACCAAATTATTACCCATTGTACGGATGTCAATTCAGTCATAAACTTTTTAATTTTGCAAATTTAGTCATAATTTTTATGCAACATTTTAACGTAGTCCTTTAGGTCAATTTTCGTGGAAATCGCTGACGCAAAGGTCTAGTCATCGCCGGCCGTCCTACGTGGCATATCACCACGTTAGCGATTTCTAGTGAAATTAGCTGAAAGGACTACATTGGAATTTCATGCTAAGATTTAGGACTCAATTGGCATAATTGTAATATTTAGAGTTGTATCGAAATCGACACAATAGGTTTATGGCTTATTAGACAAGTTCTCATAGTGCAATTAATATATATATATATATATATATATGTGTGTGTGTGTGTGTTTGAATATAATCTTAATTTTAATAAAGCAATTGGAAATTATATTTTCTTATGCATAGGGATCACCACACGTACTTGAAATTAAGACTAATGAAAAGACCTAATATTTTCTATTACAAATAATTTATCATCCTCTTGGTGAGCGATTAGAATTTTTCATGTGCAACCAATTTGTGAGCCAAATGTGTAAGCAAAATAACCTTCCGAAAAAGGTTACTTGAATCGAAAACTCACAGAAAATAGTAGGTAGCGAATGCTTAGGGGTGCAAGGCAACTTCCTTATGCCACTTCTCAGGAAATGTCCAAAAAAAGTCATAAATATATTACATTAGTACCAATTCAGTCCTAAACCTTTCAATTGGATTAATTTAGTTTCATACCTTTCACATTGGTATCAATTTAATCAATCCGGCCAATTTAGGTCAAAAATCACTGATGTGGATGTCGGCGGTCCTATGTAGCACCGCCGGCGCTGACGTGGACAAATTTTATAATTACTTTTTAAGATTTTTTTAATGATTTTTCTTTTTTCTCTTTTCTTTTCTTTCTTTTTTCTTTTCCTAGAACTGGTTGGCCGGCGAGGTCACCGGCCGACCATCGCCAACCACAAGCGAGGGCCCCTGCACCCCTGCTAGCCAAGAGCGAGGGCCGCCGTGCCCTCACTGGCCATGGGCGAGGGTCAAAACCCTCGACTGCTGCAAGCAAGGGCGTGGCGGCCCTTACTGGTGGCCGGCGAAGGCATAGGGGCCCTTGCCCAGATCGGCCTATGGCCGACAACGGTTGATCGGCAACCTTGCCGGCCAACTAGTTTTGGGAAAAGAAAAAAACAAAAAAACATTAAAATATCTGAAAAAATTATTAAAAAATTAGCAAATTTGTCTATGTCAGTGCCGGCAGTGCCACGTAGGATCGTCAGCGTCCATGTCAGTGATTTTTTACCTAAATTGGCTGAATGGATTGAATTGGTACCAATGTGAAAATGTTTATGACTAAATTGGTCAAATTGAAAGGTTTAAAACTGAATTGGTATCAATGCAATAGGTTCAGGACTTTTTTGGTACTTTTCCCGCCACTTCTCTTTCCCTCTTTATGGTATCTAGCCAAAATCGCAGCTGGATTCCCTAGTTGCCAAAGATTTGGCATCAAATTTACCAACAATTCTTAGAGATTTTGAGAACTACCATAAAAGTTAATTTCTTAAGCGTCATTCATCAAATTTTTTCGTGAAATCAAGATGAGATTGTGCAATGGTTCCTTTTTCGCATCTAAAGAAACGAAATACTATCGATCAATGTCACTTTTTTTCCCAAAAAGTCCCTTAAAGTTTTGATACATCATGTGAGTAAAAGTTCTTAATATGTTTAGCATTGCCTAACATCTCATGATTACAAAAACAAAACAAAAAAAGGAGATCAGTGAATACATGGCATCTGCAAAGTGTAATTGTTTCATTTTTTAGACGACAGCTACAACAAAGTGGTCATTTTCTTTCCTTTGATTAAGCTATACACAAGATATTAATCTTGATCTGAAGCAGATCTTATATGCAATTCTTATCCCAAAGTAAAAAAGAAGAAAAATAAAAGGCAATATGGCAATTCTTATGCCAGAGTAGAAGGGAAAGAATATAAAAGGTAATATGGAAATTCTTATCCCAGACTATAAAAGAAGGGGAAACAAGAGGTAATATAACAATTCTTATAGTGAAAAAGGAGAAAAAGAAAAATGGTAATACTGTTGTGGCAAGCTGGCAAAATCTGTTATTGTGACATTCCGAATTTCGACCCATTTTTTGGGATTTATAAAACGAGTATTTCGTCAGTGCGATTATAGTTAAATCTCGCCCAGAACTGATCACTCTCGGGTTATTTTTAAATTTGAGATTTCGCTAAAATCTCATTCGATCGAATTTGGCCGATATTTAAAGCTCGAACTGTGGTGTCGAATTTTTCGGAGTTTCGTGACGAATTTAATTGAATGGTATCGATATTATTGTGGCTAGCGTCAATATTTCCCAGAATTGATGAAAAGTGAAATTTGGACCGGGTGCGGATTTTTTACCAATAGACCTCCCTCTTAGTGTATTTTAGTTAGTGTTTTTGGCCTTTTTCCTAATTTATAAATTAGGGCTTTTCGTGGACCGTCGAATTGACTTAAAGTTTAAATGTGGGCCGTTGGATCACACTCATTGAGTTGACTCCCTCCCTCCCTCCCTCCCTCCCTCCCTCCCTCCCTCTCTCTCTCTCTCTCTCTCTCTCTCTCCCCTCTGCGCGCGTCCCCTCCCCCCCGGCGCACGTCCACTCCTCCCCTCTGTCATGCAGACCTACTCTCTCTCCTCTTTTTTCTTCTTCTTCTTCTTTCTTCTTTCTTCTTCTTCCTTCTCCTTCCTTTCTTCGCCGCGGCTTCTGCTCCTTCCCTTCTTGGCTCGCCCGCCCACCACTGTTCATCTTAGCTACTGCTCGCCTGCCGTCTGCATCGCGCTACCCGCCTCCATGCGTCTAGCTGCCCAGCAGCCATTCGCCCGCCACCGCGCGTCTCATTCGCTCGTCGCTTGCCAGCTCGTCGCCCGCCTGCTCGCGGCTCGCCTGGCCAAGCCCGTCGCCACCATCGTCGCTGCCGCCCAGCCACCGCTCGCCCTTGCCATTGTCACAAGCTCACCAAGCAGCTCGCCGCCACGAGTCTCGCCTCCCAGCTCGCTGCTCGGTTGCTCGCTCATCCCGTCGCCGCCCAACAGTCGCTCCTCTCGTCCTCGTCGCCGTGCCACCCAGCTAGCCGGCTAGCTCGCTCACCAGCCAGCCCGGTCGCTCGCCCAGCTTGCCGGCTAGTTGCTCACCAGCTAGCCAGGCCGCACACCTGCTCATTCGCCCGTCGCCATCGCCGGTAGTCGGTCGCCTGCCCAGTTCGCCCAGGCCGTCGCCCGCCTGCCTAGCCGCTGCCCCGGGCCGTGACCGAGCCATCCCAGCCGGTGCCCTTGCCGTGCCGTGCGCCCTGCCCGTGCCCAGCTGCTTACCGACTGCTTGCCAGTCCGCCCGGCTCGCCGCCCGGCTACTCGCCCGTTACCTGGCCGAGTGCCCTGCCAGGGCTGAGCGCCTCGCCCGTGGCCGAGGGCCGTGCCCAGACCTTGCCCGTTAGCCGGCCGCTGCGCCCTTGCCCTCGCCAAGCTCGCCGCTGCCATGACCGGCCATTTGGCCCCCTTACCGGTTTTCACTGGGCCAAAACCTAGGTAAGTGACCTCCTAATCCCTACTTAGTACTTTGGTATTATTAGACTTGTTTAGGGGTTGATGAGGGTTGGTTTAGTGACTAAGTTAGGTATTGATTAGTTAATTGAATGTGATTGATTTATGGATTATGTGGTGGGGATTTTTGTGGCTAAATTAGTGATTGATTGAGATGGGTTCAATGACCGGGTTGTCGTGGCGTTTGTGGGGGAAATAGATGCTTGAATGTGGTTGACTTGAAGGTCGGATTGGTGGGCTAACGTGGAGAGCATAACTTGAATTTGAATAGTATGACGTGTTAGATTGGTATTGGCGAATTGCATGTGGCGTACATGCATGAGGAATGTCCTGAGGCGTGGTTACGTGGGACTAAGCCCGGATTGATCGTAGGGCTGCCAACCTGAGGCGTGGTTACGCGGGTGTGGCTAGAAAGCAAGAAATGACCTGAGGAGTGGTTACGCGAGTCGAGAGAAATGTCCTGAGGCGTGGTTACACGGGACTAAGCCTGAATTGATCGGAAGGCTGCCAACCTGAGGCGTGGTTACGCAGGTGTGGCTAGAAAGCCAAAAAATGACCTGAGGCGTGGTTACGCGGGTCGAGAGAAATGTCTTGAGGCGTGATTACGCGGGACTGAGCTCGGATTGATCGGAGGGCTAGACCTGAGGCGTGTTGACGCGGGTCGTGGTTAGTCGGTTGGACACGCATGCGAAATGTATTTGGTTGAATTAGTTGAATGTACATGGTTGTGACGCTCGAGTGTTTATGTTATGTTATGTTCCTGAGCTATTATTGCATTATTGTGATTTGACTAATGCGTGGAGTTGGCATATAATTTGAGGCGAGGTAAGTGTGCATGAGAATTCTATTATGTCGATTGCTAGATTGCATGTTGGCACTCGTCTGGGTACGTATTGGCTTAGGTAGGGTTTAGGTTGTCTACTTATTGAGATTTATTCTCATTGCTGTAATGCAAACCATTTCAGATCCTCAACCCTGACCTTGATCATGCCGCCACCTCGGTGTTTTAGGGTCCCTATGCATATGATGCATGAGGAGACCGAGTATCCAGTAGATCCACATCAGACTTATATTAGGCACCTCACTACGGTCTGGGTAGCCGTAGGCCTAGACGACTTGCAATGTCACACTTACTTGGCCTGGTTTTATCGTGACGGGTTGGAGTTAGTTGGCCCAATCCGAGATTTTGAGGGATAGCAGCACAGCAACGAGGATGCCGTGGATTGGGAGCCCGGGGACGTGTATGCTCTTGATGGTGAGATTCTGGACTCCGAAGATCTCCCGGAGAACCCTAGTCCCGAACCCGAGCCCGTACCAGAATCTATAGCAACTGCGGATCTCGAGCTCGAAGAGGAATTTGAGGAGTCCGAACCTGAAGAAGAGCCCGAACCTGTGCCAGAGCCCATGGAGTTCGAGCCCGAGGAGGAGTCGGGTAACAAGGAAGAGCCGATCGAGATCAACTCTAACACAGAGTCAGAGTCTTCAGGGTCTGATTCAGATTGAGCGTCGTAGGAGTGTTTTGGTACTAGGCCTAGAAGCTTTTGGTAGAGCCCCTTTTGTGTAACTAGCTAGTCTACCTTACCACCTGTCCCTTTTTGATGATAATGGTGGATGTTAACCCTAGGAGCCAAATGTCTGATTGTCTGACCAAATGTTGTAAGCGACTGTTTTCTATTGCTATGAAATTATTGTTTTATACTGTTATTATCCCTCTGTCATTGTCTATTGTCTGGGTTGTTATATTTCGCTTCCGCTTGCATATTCATGGGGGTATTTCGTTTGGGTCGGCAACGCGTCCTGGGACGTCGCGTTCAATACGACCGTCGTAGGGGTGTTGCGAGCCCGTTAGGGTCCGGGGCGTGACATCCCTGTTTATTTGGTATCAGAGCCGACTCCTGACCGCGTGTGGGGCCACAGCGAGGATGCTGTGCCCGTAAGGGGGGGAGAATGTGACGATCCGGACCCAAGGCGGTGGGCGTAGGATGAGGGATGGCAGGGGAGGCTGCGCCTCTACCCTGGACGTGCGCAGGGCCAGGCTAAGCTCATGTCTCCTGTCCCACATTGCCTAGAGAGGGAGCCTTGGGCTTGCTTATAAGGCTTGAGAAGTCTTAGCCTAGTACGAAGCGTTTTAAATCCGTGATGGCTCCGGCCCAAATTGGACAATATCGTGCTAAGGTGGGGCCTCGGGTCATTACAGTTATGCTCTATTCTTCATCCGTATATAGTTGAATGATGTTGATATCGGAGCAACGATATCCTATCATGATGAATTCATATGCTAAGCTCATATTTATTTGTTCTTTATTGCTTACTAGTTGTGTGAGAGATGTTTGGGGCAAGACACATGTTGAGATCGATAACAATTTGTCGGGTGGAATTACTCTAATAGTCTATTGCAAATCCAAGGAGGATGTTCTCGGAGTCCAAAATATAACGAGTAAATGACAAATCTCCTTTCGACCCAATTTCTATGGGACGACATTATTCTTTTGCAGCTCTGCATGGCCAGGTCAAGTCAACTTCAGAGGTTTGATATATATGTGCAAGAAAGAGACCAAGTTCAGTGCTCTTTGTATGTCTGACAGATCTCGCCCGATGGTCCTTGTAGGTTCAACGAGAACACTGGACACTTTGATATTTGTTTTCCATGGAATCCTTTGACACAATTAGAGAGGAAACCTCTCATCTAAATGTATGAGAGAGAAAGATAATGTTGTGAATTGCTTCATTACAATTTAGATGGAATAAGGATCATCTCAATTATCTTTAAAAAATTTATATACATACTTCGCGACCTTCCCGAAGGTGCACCACCTAGGGTTTACCTAATGGACTAGCAAGCCTAGACTTAACTCGGGCTCTTTCAAGCCTATACTAATTCGCGATTTAAGGTTCAAATTCTTAAAATGCATATTATTTTTATCTAGGAGTTGTCACTAATCAATTTTATGGTAGGTCGATTGGAAACCCAAGCAAATTAATGGGAGGATTACTTTACTCCTACTAACCAGAGATAATAGACTTGGGGACTTAGTTACTCTAGATTATTCTAATGCCCCTTCGGCACATTTTCTCTTTTAAATTCAAAAAAATTATTTTTGGCAAGCAGTTTGGATTGATTTTAACTTAGACACTAACATGCAGGGAGTGATCATGCGGGTGTACAACCGCTAAAATAAATAAAAATAAATAAATAAAGCAAATGAATTGCAAGAAAAAAAAAAAGAAATGAAACACACCTAAGCAATCAAAGCATTTTTTGGGATTTTCTATTATTTTGAAATAAAGTCTAATCTACATGACATGCGATTTCCTAACAAGAAAATTATATGAGATACAAGGGATATATTTTCATATTTTTTATATATTAAGCTATATGATAAATGCTCCTAAAATCTATATGCTATACCATCTAATTATATTTTTTGTTTAGGGGTTGAAAATTAATCTCTAATTTTCTATGTAATTGTTCCTAAATGACTAGTCAAAATTTAGGTGTCAATACACACACATATATTCATCATGTCAATTTCGATTGGCATCTCTTACTTTATAGCTTTGTCTCTTCATTTTGTGTCTTTCAATTTGTAGTAAGGGTTAATACCACAAAAAATCCTAAATTGGTACATTCGTGACAAATTCATTCCAAACTAATTTTTGGGTCACCAATAATCTGAAACTGGCAGACCTGTGATAAATTTACTCCAAATTGATATGTATTTCCACATGGACGTGCCATGTCAATTGAGTTATTATCATGTGTCATCTAGCTCAACTTTTTCAAGTAAAATTTGACGGAAGCTAATGGAGGGTAAATATATCATAAGTGTACCAATTTGGGATTTTTAGTGACCCAAAAATTAGTTTGGTGTATATTTGTCACAGCTATAGCAGTTTGGACATTAATTACATTCAATTGGACAAAATGATGTAATCATAAAAGGTTAGGCAATACTAGCATGATGTATCAAAACTTTAAAGGACTTATTTTTTAAAAAGTGAGATTGATAGACAGTAATTGGCTAGTTTAAGCCCCGAAAGGGATCCATTACACAAAATCATATTGATTTCATGAAAAACATTGACCAAATGATCATTAGTAAATACATTTTATGGTAGTTTTGGATATCTCCAGAATTATCAGTAAGTTCAAGGCCAAATCATTAGCCTTGCCAGATCTGGCGAGGATCGATCAGGCCTCGCTTATGGCCTTGTCCAGGGGACGGCGGCCGAACATGGCCAGTGGCCCATGTTCAGTCACGGCCAAGCCAAAGATTGAAGAAAGGAATAAAAAAAAAAAAGAAGGAAAAAAAGAAAAAAAAAATTAGAAAAAATATTAAAATATCAAAAAAATATTAAAATATTATTAAAAATTATCCATATCAGCATTGGCAATCCCACATAGCCGGCCGACATTGATATCAACAATATTTGACCAAAATTAGTCGGAAGAATTGAATTGGCACAAAAACAAAAGGTTTAAGACTCAATTGGCAAAAAAAAAAAGGTTTAGAACTAAATTGGCACCAATGAAAAAGGTTTAGGACTTTTCTGACACTTTTCTCATTGATTTAGTATTCTCCCCTTTAATTAAACTATATAGAAGATATTATACTTGATTGGTAGCTAATGTTATGTGGCAATTATTATCCCAAAGTAAGAAAGAAAAAAAATAAAAGACAATGTGACAATTATTATCCTAGACTATAAAAGGTACATTTTGATTTGTTGTTGACTTTAATGGCAATTCTGATCCCAAAATAAAAAAGGAAAAAAAAAAAGAAATGGTAATATACTTATGGCAAGCTGGCGAATATCCTCCATTCTTCATCTTTAAATAGTTGAATGATGTTGAAATTGGAGCAAAGATATCCCCACAATGATGAATTCATCAGCTAAGGTCATATTTATTTGTTGTTTATTGATAACTAGTTGTGTCCAAGATGTTTGGAGCAAGACACATGTTGTGATCTATAACAATTTGCCGACAGGAACTACTTTAACAGTTCATTGCAAGTCCAAGGATGACGATCTCGAGGTCCAGAACATAACGACCGATTGGGGATTCTACTTCAAACCCCACTTCTTTGGGAAGACACTATTCTTTTGTAGCTTTGCATGGCCGGGTCAATTTAAGTGGTTTGATATATATGTGCAATCAAGAGATAAAGGTGAATGCTCTTTGTGTCTTTGGAGGATCTCACCCAATGGTCCTTGTAGGTTCAGCGAAGTCACCGGAAAGTTTGATGTTTGTTTTCCATGGAATCCTCCTACACAATTAGGGAGGAAACCTCTCATCTAAATGTATGACAGAGGAAGATGATGTTGTTAAATGCTTCATTACAGTTTAAATGGAATAAGGATTATCTTAATTATCTTTTAAATATTTATGTTGATTTCGATTGGCATCTCTTTCTTTATAGTGTTGTTTCTTTACTCGGTGTCATTCTATTTGAACTTATTTATCATTTTGAAAAATCTGGCAAAATATGAGAGAATTGAATCAAGGGAAACATTTTTTAGTTGAAGTTATTATGGGTCATTGATATGAACCGAACCGTTAGGGATGTAAATGGTTCAGTTAGGTTTGGTTTTATTGAAAAATCGAACCGAACCGTTAGGGATGTACCATTGAACCGAACCAAATCTCGCTCAAACCGAATATGAACCGAACCGAAAACCCGATTTGGTTCGGCTTGGTTCAATTCGATTTTTGGTTTTTTCTTCTTCTTTTTTGTTTTTATTCATGGCTCGGTTTTCGGTTTTTTATTCTTTATTCTTTTTTTTTTTTGCTTTTATTCATATATAAATATTTTAGGGCAAAAGTACACTACAAGTGCCATAACTTGTGTACGGCGATCACTTTGATGCCATAACTTTTTTTCGGATCATTTTGGTGCCAAGTCGGAGCAAAAAAGATCACTTTAGTGCCAATTTGGCCGGAAATCCGACGCGGCATTTTTTTATTAATTTTTGACGCCGATGTGGCTCGCCGGAGGCTGAGTCAGCGTGTGCAGTCAGCATTTTTTTTTAAAATAATTTTTTTCAGCGTGTACAATCAGCATTTTTAATTTTAAATATTTTTTTCCTTTTTTTTTTATTCTTTCCTTTTTCTTTTCTTTTCTTTTTTCTCTTTTCTCCCCTCGCCGGCCAGTTGTTGGTGGCCGGCTGGCCACCGGCGAAGCCCGGGAAGGGCTGGGCGAGGGCGGCCTTGCCCATGACCGACGAGGGGCGGCCGACCTCGCCGGCGACAGGCGAGGCCAACCCGTGCGAGGGTGCCCTCGCCGACGTCCGCGAGGTCGCCGACGCGGCGAGGGTCGCCTCGCCCGGATCCGGCGAGGGCGACCCTCGCCGGCGTCGGGCACCGGGCGGCGAGGAAAGCCCTTGCACGGGCGGGCGAGGTCGCCCTCGCCGGATCTGGCTAGGGCGACCTCGCCGGCGCCGGGCGAGGGTCGCCCACGCCCGACTCGAGCGAGGTCGCCAGCGCCCACTCGGGCGGGGCC